ATCTTGACAAGTTTTGAGTTAAAGTCTTACTAAACCCAGGACCCTGCATTCACTACATCCAGTCTCCTAGAGTACACAGAACATGGAAGAGCAATTATTTTAGTAAATATAAACTGCTAAATACCTTTTCTCATCAGCAGTTAGAGCAGTCTTGTGGCTTCTATCAGTGTTCAGCAGAGCACTGGTTAAAGCTTTTAGAAGGAGTGTTCTTTCTGCTCTAGAAGGATGCAAAACCCCTGGCCTCTTTCTGGACAGTGCTGATTGGCCCTGTGCTGATCACATGCACTCTCACAAGACAAAAAAATCCTCTCTAGCAATACACACTAAACTGAGCATGTGCAGAATGGTTATGGTTTAGTATGTCTTATGTGGAGATAAGACATGAACATTTGAACAAGAGTAGAAGCAGAGAAGTCAGGATCAAATGGCCTTTTTACACAATGCAGAGGATTAACCCCTTAGGTTCCACAGTGAGTATAACAAGCATGCTGTACTGCATATGCAGACTGATTATACTGTTGTGGGTTTAATTCCAGGCAATACCTAAATACTCATAAAAGATAAGTTCACTTTTAAAAAAAAAAATAATAAATGCCTTAAGCCTGGAAAACATTGCACCAGTGATCAACAGATTGCTGCTGTCATGCAGGACTCTTGCAAACCTGTCAGTGTATCTGTGTGCTTGTACCATACAGGCAAGTAGAGACATTGTGATCGGAAGAATCAATGAACTACCACACAGCTCAACAGCGCCATAGTAGTTCAGTAAGAACTACAAGCCAACAAAGGTTGTTGGGACTTGTAGTTCACCATTTACAACTCTGTGAATGAATGATGCGGCAATGTGGGCAGAGCCCTGCATGGCTACGCTGTTTTCAAAAAGTGACAGCTAGTAAGGGGGACTTCTCCCTTGTCACAGGGAGAGAGGGCAGCGGGAGGAAGCTGCAGCAGTAGAAACAAGTTACATGTTCCCCCTTAAAATTGGGTGTAACATGTAATATGTTCCCAAAGGTGAATTTATCCTTTAAAGATGCTCCCTTCACCTCCTAACACCTATTCTAACCTGTGTAAGAAGAATCTGTATACTTACCTATTTTCATGCTGCTCAGGTCCAATCATGTGATCCCCCTTGTGTCTTCCAGTGCCAGCTGTAGGAAAAAGGAGAATATGCTTGATAATAGCTTGAATGCCAGGGAATTGTGAGATCACCTATAGGCTCCTATGGCTCATCCATTGTTTGTTGGTGCTTCCTTCTCTCCCATGTAGCCACCGCTGCCTCGCTCAGAGGAGCTGGATCATGTGACCAGACCAGAGAAACCCAAAAATAGGCAAATATACAGATTTTTCTTACATAGGTGGTTAGTCAAAATAAGTGTTAAAAATGTGATAAAAATGCTCCCGCCAGCCTCCTGAGTAGTTAGGTTTTGCCTGAAATTATACTTTAAAGTGGTCATAAATAATGGAGTCACTAGCCTCAGCTGATACACAGAGATGAAATAAATCCTCCTACATAAGGTTTACCTGTTTATCTGCGGCACTCCCTTCTATGCAGCCTCCTAAAAACACACATTTTACACAGCATCTTTCGGCATCAGAAAGTAGTGGGAGTAGATCTGACATCACACACACTGCACAGAGCTTTGTAAAATCTGATAACTGATTAGAGAAAGTGACACCCCCCCTTCGGAAGCTCAAAGAAACATAGAGCTGAAGGTATGAGTCATCTGCTGTGCCCTGGAGTATGGTGGGCTGCTTCCCGGGAAGCTGATGTCTCTATTGGGAGTAAGTAATGCAGATAGCAGAGAGTGGAGAGATCAGAGAGCAACCAGACTCTGTGCTTTGGATTCAGGTTAGTACACACCATAGTGGGATGTGATTTGTTCATTTTTCATGTCTGAGGTTTACAACCACATTAAAGTGTTACTAAACCCAGGACCCTGCATTCACTATATCCAGTCTCCCACAGTACACAGAACATGTAAATGCAGTTATTATAGTAAATATAAACTGCTAAATACCTTTTCTCATCAGCAGTATATGGCAGTCTTGTGACTTCTATCAGTGTCCAGTTGAGCACTAGTTAATCTTGTAGGAGGGGTTCCCTGTTCTCCTTTGACTGTCCTATGAGGCTGCATAACCCCTGACTCTCTGTCTGGACAGCGCTGATTGGCCCTTTGCTGATCACATGCACCATCCCCGAAAAAAAAAAAACTCTCTAGCAATACACACCAAACAGCATGTGCAGACTTGCCACTGCTGCTCTAACTATGGCAGATGGATTGGGGACAGTAGAAGAAGAGGAGGATCAGAGAGGACAGGATCAAACAGCCTTGTTACACAATTCAGAGGATTAACCCCCTAGGTTCCACAGTGAGTATAACAAGCATGCTTTACTGCATATACAGACTGATTTTACTGTTGTGGGTTATTAACACTTCAAGTGTCTACAGAAGTGTTCCCATGAACAGGTGACATTCTTGTCTATAGAGCAATATCTAAAAATACAAAAAATGTAGTAGCCATGGGGCAAAGGCTTGGTGAAACAACATGACCTTCGTGCTTTAGTTGTCTTCAGGATCACCCCACCAACAGATAAGCAAGCCGGGGTCCAGTAATGGATGTAGCAGGTAGGATTAAGACAGAAGTATAGTCAGTAAACAAGCCAAAGTTGGTGGTAACAAGTGGTTTTTGGTTGGAATCAAGCAGAAGCATAGTTGAGGAACAAGCCAAAAAGTTGGCAAAAATTGGTAAAGAAGATACGGATGGCAACAGGGGCATAAGGAGCAAGATATCAGCTGGAGAGAGCACAATAAACTGGCAAACAGGAAGTGCAGAGACATGACTTAAATAGGAAGCTCATGGGAGGAGCAAAGGTACAGCGAGAAGCAGGGGTGGACTGACAACTCATGGGGCCCCCGGGCAATAGGGGATCATGAGGCACCTGTGTCCTTGCCCAAACTCAAAAAAGCCTATGAAAAAGGTGTCAGGGGCATCTCATGGGGCCCCCTAGTGACCTCGGGCCCTCGGGCAGTGCCCGAGTTTCCAAATGGTCAGTCCACCCCTGGCAAGAAGTCATACACAGCAGAGATCCCAGGTTCAGATTCAGATCCTGACTGGCTTGCTACAAGTGTACAATGTTAAAGTCTGATTGCTGTGGATCCCAAAGTGAGTCTCTCTTTATTTTAATGTTTTTTTATTGCAATAAATTAACCAATTAATCAAAGTCAGCAGTAAAAACTCTTGCCTACTCCATGATGATGTCACCTTCGCTATACTAGTTCCTTTGAAATTAGGAGAACTACATTTTTTTGCTCTTGTTTTTCTCAAAAGGATCAGCCTGGTTCTGGCTTGCATACCAGTTAGCCTCAGCATAGCAGGATAGCTGTTTGTTTAGGGAAAAGATAAACTTCAGAGAGCCTGCGGGCAATACTGGTGACCAGGGCCAGATTCCTCACCAGGCCTTGTACCCATGGCCTAGGGTGTCATTGCTTCTAGGGGTGGCATATAGCTGCCCAGGCCACTTTAATTTTATGCCTGCCAGTGACTTAGGTTTAAAGAACCTGTCAGATAATATTCTATGGCTTCCTTCCTCTATATATACAGGTGAAACTCGAAAAATTAGAATATCATGCAAAAGTTCATTTATTTCAGTAATGCAACTTAAAAGGTGAAACTAATATATGAGATAGACTCATTACATGCAAAGCAAGATAGTTCAAGCCGTGATTTGTCATAATTGTGATGATTATGGCTTACAGCTCATGAAATCCCCAAATCCACAATCTCAGAAAATTAGAATATTACATGCAATCAATAAAACAAGGATTGTACATAGAACAATATCGGACCTCTGAAAAGTCTAAGCATGCATATGTACTCAGTACTTGGTTTGGGCCCCTTTTGCAGCAATTACTGCCTCAATGCGGTGTGGCATGGAAGCTATCAGCCTGTGGCACTGCTGAGGTTTTATGGAAGACCAGGATGCTTCAATAGCGGCCTTCAGCTCTTCTGCGTTGTTCGGTCTCATTTCTCTCATCTTTCTCTTGGCAATGCCCCATAGCTTCCCTATGTTTCCAAATGAGATGCAAAAGCTGCTCTCATCAGAAAAGAGGACTTTGGACCACTGAGCAACAGACCAGGTCTGTTTTTCTTTAGTCCAGGTAAGACGCTTCTGATGTTGTTCAGGAGCGGCTTGACAAGAGGAATACAACATTTGAAGCTCATGTCCAGGATCCGTCTGTGTGTGGTGGCTCTTGATGCACTGACTCCAGCCTCAGTCCACTCCTTGTGAAAGTCCCCAACACTTTTGAATGGCCTTTTCCTGACAATCCTCTCTAGGCTGCGGTCATCCCTGCTGCTTTTGCACCTTTTTCTTACACACTTTTCCCTTCCACATAACTTTCTATTAATGTGCTTTGATACAGCACTTTGGGAACATCCAACTTCTTTTGCAATTACCTTTTGAGGCTTTCCCTCCTTATGGAGGGTGTCAATGACGGTTTTCTGCACAACTATCAGGTCAGCAGTCTTTCCCATGATTGTGATTCCTACTGAACCAGACTGAGAGACCATTTAAAGGCTCAGGAACCCTTTGCAGGTGTTATGGCTTAGTTAGCTGATTAGAGTGGGACACTTTGAGCCAAGAATATTGCACCTTTTCACAATATTCTAATTTTCTGAGATTGTGGATTTGGGGTTTTCATGAGCTGTAAGCCATAATCATCACAATTATGACAAATCACGGCTTGAACTATCTTGCTTTGGATGTAATGAGTCTATCTCATATATTAGTTTCACCTTTTAAGTTGCATTACTGAAATAAATTAACTTTTGCATGATATTCTAATTTTTCGAGTTTCACCTGTATTTGTAGCTTTTATACCTGGCCCTCAGCCACTCAGAACTCCCACACATCTCCAGTTAATCCTACTCTCAACCAGTGGTGTATTTAGGTTTTGTGCTGCCCTAGGCAACAGAAAAATTGGCACACACCCCTCCCCCCCCCATAGAAAGAGCCTGACATTGACCAAGAACACCCCTGCCCTCCACCCGAACCTTTCACTACCACTGCCCTCTATACACAAGCCACCATCCCCCATGGCGAGAGAAAGACACTCGCCTTCACAGCTCCGGACATCCCCAGGAACGAGTGTCGGGCTGTGCATACACCGTCATGAAACCCACAGCCTCTCTCAGAACCCACCAGGTCCCCATGCTGCGTGTGTTCCTTCTTCCATCCCTTCTTCCAAGGGACAGTGCTGCCCCCCAGAAAAATGCCGCCCTAGGCAAATGCCTTGTTTGCCTTGTGGTAAATACACCCCAGCTCTCAACCCACAAAGAGTTGTAATTGTGTCAGTATGGTACAGTCTTATGGGTATGGGGGGTGGCAATGTTTCCAGTAGTTGTGTGTGGGGGGGGGGTTGGAGGGGAAGCGCAAGGTGGCTGGCTTAGGTCGGCCATACATGAGTCAAAATTTGACCAATTTTTCTTCCGAAAATCGGACCGAAGAATAATCGGATGATTTTCGCTCTGTAAGGGCTCATTCACACTTGACTGTTTTTCCAACTCTTGCCAAAGGCCCCTATAGCATTTGACAAGCGTTGGTCCGGCATTTACGGAGCGTTTTTAATGCTCCGCAAACGCCGCATGTGTGGTTTAGCGGCGGTTGCTAGGCGTTTGCCAAGCATTAACAACGCCCCGCAAACGTCTATAATGAAGTTTGAATGGTGTTACCGCTCCGCAAATGCCTCGCAACCGCGTCGCAACCAGGAGGGAGTTTGCAGAGCGGCACCATAGACTTGAATAGGAGGCTTCAACTCCTCCTGACTCGACCAGAGGCGTCCGTTTTGCCGCGAAGCAACGCAATGCTAACACTCCTGTTTGAGCAGCACTATGTGTTGCAATGAGCAGAAGTTTCGCAGGCATTTGGGAAACAGTAAAAACGCTTCCCAAACGCCTGTCTGCCACTTCCAAACAAGGCTAGTGTGAATGTAGCCTTAGTGGGTCAATGGCACCAGCCAATTTTCATGGTTCCTCCCCTTTTTGGTGATCGGGCATGTTGGAAAATTTGTGAAAAATTACCAATTTTCGACTCAGTGATGGTCAAATCGTACGATCGTTTTTGCGAAAAGAATATGCACACAAGCCATGACCTGGAAGGAACAGAAGTTTTGCCTGTTATATGGGGTGAACTTTATGACTTGGTTGGCCGATTTTCCAAATTATTGATGGAGCCATCGGATTACCGTACAAACAACATTTTCGATTTTCAGACGAAAAATCATTCAGAATTTGAACCATGCATTGCCTGCATTAGGAGGGGAAAAAATATATATATATATATATCTGACCCAGCTGGTGACAGGCTATAGTTCCCCAAGTTTGGAGCCGTTTGCTTAGTTCACAGACATGCATGAGTGTAAGATACAAGTACATGGGTAAATTAAGTTTATTTTCCTGCCAGATTTAATAGAAGATTTAATATTTACAAGTCCCTTTTAAATGTTATTAAGTTCTGTTTTATGTTAAAAAAGTACTTTTTTCACATAAAAGATGCTTTATTTTGTAATATGAGTCTTCCAGACCTATTTTCACATGCAAGCTCTATAACCCAGTGTGTTTGGAATTTTCGAAATCCCTATGTGGACAGAAATGCACCAGTGACTACGAGGAATCTATATTTCTTGAAGCTGTCTTTTGTGCCCAAGGATTTATATATATGTTTTATTTTTGCTATATGGCTTTGTATAAGCAATTCTTCTTGTCCTTCATTTCTAATTCAGCAAACATTTTGAGTGATTATTGAATTTATAATATGACCTTCAGATAAAACCTCCAAGAAACTATTTGTATCAATAAGAGCCGCATAACCTTTGACTTTTCCTTCTTCTTAATGATGGAATATAATCACATTATTACACATGAATGGTCACCCAGCTATCAATGGGTGGTCTGTAGACATACAGCATGCATTCTGTGACCTATAGGACTTTGGTCTTTTGTTAAAAAAACAGACACCTGCTGCACATCTAGATCACTAATGCTGTAAAATAAAAGCAGAACTATCCATGTATGATAATTGCATTACCTTAGGCAATATCAAATTACTGAAAAAGAACACCAGGGAGTAATTACTGTGATGTACATGTGCAGGGTTACGGTTTAAACTTAATGTGACAAGCATGGCTCACAAAGACGTAACACATAGGGCTCACAGAGACATGGAGCACAAACGTATTTTCCAGAGGAACAAATAGAACCACACTATATTTTATGTTTCATTTGTTCTGTGCACTTTATGCTCAAGGACTGCGTACAACAATATGGGATCACCATTGTAAATGAAAGAATATTCTCATGATATGATGAACTGTAGAAACATAACAAAGCTAAAAAAATAATAATTTACTAAATATAGGTATTTAGAAAACATGATGAGTGTGTGAAAAAGAGGATTTCCAGGAAAACTTGTTAGACAAGAAAGTTTCCTCAAACATCAGAGGTTGGAACCACTAGTGTTCACTAATGACAGTAAAATAGGAGATAATATAATAGTAGAATGGTAATATAGTAACAAATAATGTAGCGCCACCCCTGCAGGGGCATCTGCTAGTAATAGCTGGTTTCTCCCTAATAGTAGAGGATGCCCACCACCACCAGCACCAGTCCATACACTCTGGCTCCAAAAACTCAGGGAATTTCTTTTTGAAATGTATTGCATGAAGGAGAGGAGAGGCATGCAATACTCCAAAATGCTAAACAGGAAACAGGACACTTTTCCTTAGGCTCAAACGCCACAAAAGCACCAGACAGTCACCAGGAATCAGTTTAAGGTCATTACTCACAAGTGCCCAGGACAACAGCACACCTTCCAGCTTCCTTTGGACACTATCCAGTGAGGGAAACAATCCTTCTCCAGACCTGATCCTATGGTGAAGTCCCACAGCCAGTTTTTCAGGAAGATAACTCAAAGCCATCAGCCCTAATACTGCTGAGGCTTAAAAAACAACTTTACAGTACACAGGCTACTTTAGAGTGGCAGCAGCCCTGCCCAACGCTTGGAACCCTCCTGGGTGGAGAAAACAATTTCTCCATAGTGTCAGACTATTTATCACCTCCCCAGCCACCTTCTGGACACTCCTATTCAGGGCCTGGGCAGGCCATGATAAATATTCAGGCTGGTCATTTGAATCTCTCTTCCTATGTTCTGGAAGCTTCCTGCAGAGGCAGGGGGAAGCAATCAAACCCAGCCTGTGAAACCACGAACAGACCAGAAAAAACAATAACTGCTCCTTTGACTACAGATGGAGTTAAAAACTAAATTTGCCTAGCTTCCTACAAAAAAAATTAAAAGAACAAACAAAAAAGTACAGAACAATTAAGGAAAATCTGGTAATACCAGTTAAAATTCCAACGACCCCTGAAAACACACCCTAGTTTATTACACTACCAGTACCCTTTTATGAGCCCAACCTAAACCCCAACCTCTGCTCCCTCCTCCATACTTTGTTTCTTTTCTCACTGCTCCACCCTTAAAAGAAAATATATTGATAATCAACTAAGGCTTACTCCACTGGAATGAGGCTGTTCTCTCCACCTGCTCACTTAACACTCCTTTTGCATTTGGGATATGGTAAAATGCAAAGCCAATCTTCTCTCACCTCTCCAGCCCTTACTGTCCTTTTTCCACCATCTGGCCTCTTATCCAGCAACAACCTCCCCTACTACATTTCACCACTGGACGCAAATAAACCTCACTTGTTTACGCCACCTCCTGTCTTCTATAGGTCTTAAAACTTTGCAAGAGCATTATGAACTCCCCAACCTGGAGATATTTAAGTACCTTCAATTAAAACATTTCTATGTTGCCAAACTCTCCTTCACAATGGACCTTCAAATAACTGCACTTTCTCGGTCCTTGCAGCTTTATAAATGTAGTAAATACTAAGCTAAGTTGATCATCAGGTCAACGGGGGGGGGAGGGGGGCAGAAAGGGGGGCTGCCTGTACCTCTCCCCTGTCATCTAATAAGGTTTGGCTGTCCCTCGGAGCTATCTCTTCACGATTTCCTGAGTTGGTTGGCGGGGCTGAGGGTGTGGTTGTCTCCACTCCTCCCACAGGCTTCACTCAGCCTGATCTTGCAGCCCCAGGGAGTCTTCAGCACCAGCCATGCTGTAAACGACGACTGAGCACACTGTCACTACATACAGCCCTAGCCCTTTCCTAACCTGCCTCTGTGTAAGCCGTGTACCGGGGTGGGCTCCCCAGGATACAGTGAAGTCATGAACGAGGAAAACAACCCAACACCAGCTTTTGCCAGAACAAAATTTTACTTAGATGTGGCAAATAAACACAACCACAAATGCTGAGAACATACAATAAATTTACATACACCCAGCCCAAAGGCTGAGACCCTTGTGCTGCACAGCACGGCGCCTCCTGATGGATGAAGGTAGAAGGTGTAGTAATTTGCCTACTGGCGGGCACAACTAAGCTGCCACACCTTACCCGTTATTACCCTAAAAGAGCAGGAATCAGTGTATGGGTGTATGGTATGGGCTAGCCTGCGGTGCAGCACAACAGCCTACAATCTTACACAAATCTACAGTATTCCCCCTCCCATAACTGGTCCTGTAGCACGTGCCTGAGTATTCCTTCTGAGCAAAATGCCAGTCTGGCTTGAGTTTGTGGGATGTTATCAGCTCTCCAATGTGAAATGTCACTTTAAGTTATGGAGTCCTTCCAATGATCAGTAATAACACTTTTGGCCTGACACAAACAGAGACCCTAACTAACTAACTACAGGCCTGGGCTCAGTCTCTCGGCACCAACACTGAAATGAGGTGCGTGCACGATCTTACCGACCCGGGTCTGCTTTGTATCCGCTGATGACTCTGAACAGAACAAATGTCTCTCCAACAAGTATGCGGTATCACAGTGTATGTTGCTTTGTTCCTCTGCTCTCTTCAGCATTCCTGGCAGCAATCTTCCTTTCTCTGAACAAGATCAGGGTCTTGGACACAATCAGCTTCACTTAGCTGCAGCTCTGGTTACTGAGGGATGTTCTCACACCTGGATGCCATCAGATTCTCTGCCCACACGACTCCTGCATTCCCCATCCTCCAAAACATGGCTGTTGTCTCTCCTTCCTGTCCTCTAAACTCTGTGTGAAAAACCCCACCTCTTCATGAATATAGAAATATCTATGCAGTCTGAGGCTGTGTTAGGAAAACAGTGGCATCTTATGGCTAAACCGCAGAATGTCATTCCAGAACATTTAATTTACTCCACACAATAATTTACTGCACACAAACAGTGTTCAAAC